CCACTCTGTTCCTGGAATTTGATAGATATGATTTTTCTCAAGCACAAGTCCTTCCCTTTTCATAGAATTCCTTCTCTATAAAAATTTGTGAGGTTTGCTTCCTCATTTTTCAAGTGTTTCTCAAAATGTCACGTTACGGGGCCTTTCCTGAGAAGTCTGCCGCCTTACTAGCTTCACACCTCATGGGCTCTTCCCTGGTCCCCACCGGGTCCTGTAGCAGGCTTCCTCTGGACCACCAACCAGCTCTCAAATCATGACACAGAGACTTACTATTAGTTATGAGCTTAGTCTTTGCTTATGCTTGTCCCACCAGCTCTCATAATTTAATTTAATCTGCTTCTCTTCATCTATGTTTTTCTTTCATTCTGTACGTCCTTCTCTGTGTCTAGCTGGCTGTCCCTGGGTATCTCTTCACTTTCTCCTTGTGCTCCCTTCTGGTTCTCTTTTCTTCTTCCAAGCCTAGATTCCTCCTACTTAGTCTCTCTGCTCACCAGCTCCGCCTATCCCTCTACTGCCTAGCTACTGGCTGTTCAGCTTTTTATTAGACCAATCAGGTGCCTTAGGCAGGCAAGGTGAAACAGCAACACATCAATTACACAACAATTAAACAAATGTAACACGCCTTTTCATAGTTCAAGTAATATCCCATAACAATCTATCTCCCCTTCCTCCTTGCTACTGGAATGTGAGCTCGGCAGAGGCAAGGACTTGGGGCTACTTGACGCACTATGATCTTCCCTTCTACACCAATTCTGTGCAGCAGTTCAAATGTCTTGCCTGCTTGTCAAGACAGGAGGTATGGATCAGCAGTAGAGCACATTCCTTGTTTACACAAGGTTCTGCACCTCAGCACTACATACATACATACATGCATGCATGCATACATACATACATACATACATACATACATACATACATGAATAATAAAGACAAAGGAGCAATGACCAGAACTATGGTTGACTCAAAATCAGAAACCATGAAGCCAGCTAGAAATTAAATAGTGTCCTCAGAATGGTGAAAGAAGGCTGGTAAGGTGTTCAGTGGGCAAAGGTGCTGCCACCAAGCTCTATGACATGAGTTTGATCTCAGCAATCAACATGGTGGAAGAAGAGAACTGATTTTCACAAGTTGTCCTTTGGTTTCCACACTCAGATATACAAAATAAACGTAATAAACATATGTGTGTCCTGCTAATGTTTAGTCACACTTCCTGGGTTCATAAGGTTTTGGTTTTAATCATAATTGAGGATTTCTTTGCCATTAACTTTTGAAAAACATTTTTTTTTCTTCTGTCTCACTCTTTTCTCCTTTTGGGGCCAGAAATTACCCCAATAGTCAGTGTGACTTTAGGCATTGTCCAGGTCTACATTCCCAGTCTTTTTTCCTCTGTGTACTTTGGTTTGTATGCTTTCTACTGGTCTGTCTTCAAGATCACGGATCCTTTTTTCTGTTATATCCAAACTGCTGGCAAACTCACGCAATCAATTTTCCTTTTTTTTTTTTTTTTTTTTTGGTTTTTC